GCCCCGCCACGTCTGCTGGTGAGACTCGGTGTGCCGTGGAAGAAGCCCTCCTTAATAATCTTAAAACATCACAAAATGTAAAAGAATCAATATATTTTATTTGGCAAAAAGTTAAATATCATTTCAACACAACGATTTGGTCAGTAGGCCATGAGGTAACTATTTCAAAATAGACAGTGTACGTTCTGCATCAACATAACTTCCCAGATTTATTTTTTTAAATCGATACAAATTTACAATAACCAAATGTAGGTTTTTTATAGTGTATAATTTATTATCAATAAAATTAACCTTCATTACAATAACCATCAAATCATTCGATTAAAATTAAAACGTAAACCATAGGTAGTTACCCTTTTCACATATACGTATAGCTCCAAAATCTGATAACTGCTCACTGGTGCAAAAACAATATTTAAGCTAGTCTGTTTATTTACTTTTTTAATATATAGATTATATATACAACCGACAAAGACAGTACTATATATATATCAACTGTGCATACTAAAATGACTTGCTTCAATATTTTGAGAACCGTAATTCCCAGACATCCCGGACGAACTTTTTTTCTACTTTTTTTTTTTTTCTTTTTTTTGCGTTGAGATATATATATAATATATATTTTACAATCAAAGGTTAACTGTCTAGTTATACAGAAAAGACTTAATACACTACAGAGCTATACTCTATGCAATTTTTATAATAAACAACCTGAGTTCAAATTGAATTCTAGCTTACACCATTACATCCGGTACAGCACCCAAGCACATAAATTGAGTCACAAACATAATTACCACAATAAAACACAGTGTTCAAGTATTAGAGCAGAGATGTCTCTGCCGCGCAAAGAGCGAATAAAATTAACTACGTAGACTAAACTATACAGTCCGTAAATAGTTGTGCATTATGAAAAGGTAGTTTTTTTCTTGTTTTTTTCTTTTTTTTTTTTTTCTTTCTGTAAGTGAAGAAACAGGTAGATTTATACAAGCCAGCTAAACAGCCTTTTCGTGCTAATGCCCCCTTTTTCTTTCCTATTAGAAAATTAAAAGTCTTACTGTACCTCTCCTGGCAAACTGGCCTCTGTGACAATCAAGGTACAATCATAATCAGAATTTGCCAAGGGAAAAAATGAGGCCTGGACCCAGACGCATTGCATGGCAGGGCTCGAGGGGAGGAAATTTTTTGTTTGTTTTGTTTTGAACTCTTTTTTTTTTTTTTTTAACTTTACGCATTTTCGATTTAACCTGCGTGTTCCCTTTATTCGTCCTTCGCTCGATCTTTGTTGATTTTCTTCATTTTCATCCTCCTGTTCTGAAACCAGATTTTCACTTGTCTCTCAGTTAGATTGAGAAGTCTGGCCACCTCGTATCTACGGTCCCTAGTGAGATACATGTTGAACAGAAACTCCTTCTCCAGTTCCAGCGTCTGATGCTTGGTGTAAGGGCATCGCTTTTTCCTGGTGGACCTTGCGTGGAGCCAGTTTGCAGCCGGATTATCTACAACGAAAACAACAGGAGAATTTCAGGCTC